CCCAAGTTCGAATCTACAAACAATCAGATGAACAGAATAAAACAATTCTTAGATAGAAAAAAAAAAAAAAAAAAAAAAAAAGTGTACCCTCTGCGCAGAATTTCTGATGCTACGGGCGTGTCTGTCTGTGTATACTTCACATTCATGTGATGCCTGGGTTGGTCATCCGTGTCTTGGGTAGGACATGGCTGCAAACTTGTAGGAGTGAAACTTAGCAGTAGAGGACAGACGGGTGAACTTCAGATGGGCAGGGACATAAAGGTAAAAAATATTGAGACTGGGAAGGATTTCCATGGAGTTAGGTTGGTTCTGGTGTCCAGGGGGGGGGTACAAGTAGGACATTGTAGGCACAACAAGACATAGCTGGTCTAGTTCAGGGTATAGATTACCTCCACTTAAAAGTTAAAAGTTAAAAGTTTTTTTTTTTTTTTTTTCCTGTTTTCTTTGCTGGACTGTTTCGCTGGAATTATGCGTGTCATCCTTGTGTCAGGGCCATGCATATCTTCTCTGTTATCGTTTCAATTTGAAGGAATCTTGCAAAGGACTCTGCTACCCAGGGTTGAATACAGACTGAGCTGCAAAAGATCATTTTCCCAACCCAAGTCCAGACCGTTGTGTCTAGTAGTAGCCACAAGGGTAGGCGCGAGAAGCACCCAGCTATCGGTAGAGTACATCTCATAATCATCACCCAGAAATGGATAGAGTACATCTCGTAATCATCACCCAGCTATGGGTAGAGTACCAGCTGTCAGTCCACCAGCTCATTTGCAACTAGGCAGTTGAGCGGGATGATCAGCTTGGGACATCGGCACGCAAACCACCATCTGACCCATGTTTCTCCAACGCCGCATGCATGCAGCCGCAAGTTTCGGGGTTTGCTCTATGGAGCAAAATGGTTGGCAGCACGAGCCAAAACAAGGCGGCCCATCTCCAATCATTTTTTGGTCGCGCAGTGTGTTTCGAGGCTGGGCAAGGGAAGGGTCAAAAGTACTGGTGGCTAAGGCTTATGAGGACAAGGCACCTTTTATAGCTACAGCGGCTAAGGTTGTTCCATAGTAGCTTCTCCACGAGCCTCCCAGTGGTTCCACAGATACTGGATGAGCCTAGGGCTTCATAGAGGACGGTTGCCATCAATGCCACTCGTTGGCTGGTAGAGTAGACTCTTCTCTTCTTGACTCACCGTTCTCTTGTTTCCCACTTCATGTGTGTTAAAGCACACACACATCAAGTGGGAATTTGGGAAACAAGGGGACGGAATTGAGCACAACAACAAGGAGATGACTATTGTACCCTCTGGTCTCTTCTCTTCTTCACTCACCGCCGTTGCCTTGTTTCACACTTCATGTGTGTGCTTTGAAGTTTAAAAGTTGTAATTCTTTCTTCAACATGGAATCGACTAGCGTCATAACTACACGTCATGAGATGTGTACCACGTCAAAAAGGAGTAGAAGAAAGGAACACCACTGCTCGCGCTCTCTTCATTACCCACATGCGAAGAGAAGATCAAACCACCACGGTGACCCCGTTTTCGCAATTGTCACAGTTGCCACCAAGCCTCGTATCGTTCAGCTGGTTTGCTGGATAGCCCAGTACGGAAGCGACATTTTTTTTTTTTTTTCTGTCCATCAGACTCCATCTTAAGAAACCATCCCAGGCCGACGAGAGGCCGGTCCCAAAAAGGGCACAGTTGGTTTAACAGACCTTCCCCCCCCCCCCCCCACACACACACTAATTTTTTGGTATCCTGTGTAACAACACCACACAAAACATTTTCCTCAAAACTCCATCCATACATAAGAGTGACATGAAGGGGAAAGAAGGGGAGGGGGGGGGGAGGGGAGGAAGCGGGTAAGCGGGTAAGCAGGGTAAGAAAACGAAAACACCCAGAAACCCTTAGCAAAGACACCTTTTTATGCAAAAGTTGTCTCTGTGATGCTTTTAGGGTTTAGGGTTTAGGGTTTCAGGGTGGTCCGCTCCAGCGTCACTTCTGGCAGACTGGCACTGCTGGCTGGCGAGTTCAGCAAAACCCAAGATGGTGTGCCAAGATGGTGGGGGATCTTGAGGAACTGGTCTCTTATATAAAACCAGTCAGCCAGGTACAATAGGGGAATGGGAAAAGTCAGAAGTACACCACGACTTCTAACAGAAAGCACTATTACATTAACCAGGGACGGTTGTCAGATGGTACGATCACACACACAACAGTCAAGGTTGGGGATCAGAAAAGGAAAGGAAATGAGTTCTTCTAGACAGAAAGATGTACTAAACAGATCTGGGCAAGAGACGAGGCAAAGAGAATCCAGAGCATGAAATTGAGAGAGATATAGCGGGAAGGAAATACAGTATGGAGCGAACAGAAGAGAGAGAGAGAGAGAGAGAGAGAGAGAGAGAGAGAGAGAGAGAGAGAGAGAGAGAGAGAGAGAGAGAGAGATCTGCAACAAGTTCGTCATCTGATCCACTTACCATCTACAGAGAGGATGATGCCACTACACATGGTGTCATATCTCAGCAACAGAGGGAGACAGAGAGAGAAAAAAGGGAGGGAGGGGGGGAAGAGAGAGAGAGAGAGAGAGAGAGAGAGAGAGAGAGAGAGAGAGAGAGAGAGAGAGAGAGAGAGAGAGAGAGGGATCTGCAACACGTTCTTCAACTGATCCTCTACGGTGTACAAAAGAGGATGACGCCACTGCACATCGTGTCACATCTCATGGTAATGATGCGTGTCCAGAAGGTCGTTTTTTCAAAAGATGATACAACATTCTCCAAGCACCTCAAAAGAGATGGCCAATAGCAACAATGAACCAAATCCTATTTCTACAAAAACAGATTCTCAACCAAGGATGTCCTACCGCTTTCCTCTCCCTCCAGTTGGCATTCACCGTTCGAATCTCTGGCCTGCACCTGACTTGCTTCACAATAAGCAGCGCTGCCATTCGTTCCCAATCGTTTCATACTCGAGAGCAGCACAAAACAGATGCCCCGACGTCCCCTGGTCATCATCAATCCAACCTATTGGGTGCAAGACTGCATTGCTCGCAGCAGAGATTCAGCCAGCCAACAACCCTCTCGACCTATTCGGTAAACTAGCAGAGTAGGCATCGTCCCATTCACAGGGGCACTTCCCCTTAAAACCATCGACTGTACTGTAAAGCAGACTGCAGAAGCGGTGTAATTGAACCCGCATGAACCTATTGCTCACTTCTGGGCTGAAAGAATTGCGCACCTTGGCGGGACCTCTTCCCCCACCTCACCATAATATGTCCCTCCCTCTCACCTAGCAGCTGCAGATCAAAAGCTCAAAAATCCGTTATCATCAAGACTAATCACATCTTGACAGCAAACAATAAAGAATCTAACGCTGTACAAAGCTAGCTCTATGCGACCGGAGGGATCCTAACCGTAAGCTTAGGACAAGTTCCCTCCCTCTCCTCGACTACCAGGTAGCAACCCGTGCAGCACATACAAGCCCGATCTTCACTCCAGTTGCTGTAAAGAAGGAGGCAAGAGAAGGAGTTAAGGGTCATATCCATTCAGCCTGAGCATTCGGCAGATAGACGACACCCAAGCGCCTCTCTCCCTTCCCCATGAGGGAGATCGGATCATATCGACAGTGCATGCAACTCCACGCAAGACCAAAGAGGCTCCTCCATCTTGGTCAGCAACCACCACCAGACCCTCCTTCTTGTGAAGTAAAGTGCGGCTAGGTGCATTATTTGGACACAGCCTGCATAGCACTTACATCCACACGCTCCAGTCGTACGGAGGACCAGCTGGTTCCCCCAACCCTCCGTACGGAAGAGCAACACAACAACGACATGGCGGCTGCAGATCGCTGGTTAGGCAACTACGTACCGACGGAAATTACACAAAACACGACCATTAATCGGTGTAACCTCGATCAATTCATATACACTCTCATTCACTCCCCACGATTAAGACAGATGGGAGCTGACTTACGCTGTAGCAAAACTATCATCATCAGCTTATCACCCTTACACGAACTCTCCTCTTGGAAAATTCACGCCATCATGCGCAGCAACATTCCTTGCCGTAAGTCTGGGCAGTTCTCCCGTACAGGCAGGATACAGCAGGTACAGTTGTTCCCCCCCTCTTCCTGCTCTTATGCATGCATTGGCGGCCGCAAGTAACCTTCTGCTGATGGAACGACTCTCCTCCCCCCCCCCCCCTCACCTTTTCTACCCCATTGTTTCCCAAGCCCGAAAAGCAGCCATTCCCTCTTTGACAGCAGCAGCCCGTTTGTAGATCATAGGAGAGACAGATGCTTCCTCCGTGACTGCGCCCCGCTCCCCCCCCCCCCAAAGAGAGGGTTTTGTTGCTTAACCCCTCCGTGGTCAAACAACGAGCACAGACCGGCGGAACAAGCAGAGGACTTTACACCAGTCTGCAGTAAGGTTAATGGCTGCCAGTTCATCGCCAGTCAAACGGAGGTACAATACCACAACAGGAGCCACCAGAGTAGCATATTGAGGTGTGGGGCCCGCACTGGCCGACCGACTGGCTTGAGGAGGTAGAGATGTTCTGACACGACTGAAACCCATTGCCTGCAACAAGTACTGTCTAAGTACTGTCATTCCTGGAATGGAACGACGTCGCAACAGGAATGTATTGGGATGTATTGACGGTCACATGCGTCCCAGTCAAGTGCAAGTGCAGTTGAATTACCCACTGGCAGGCATTCTGTTCGGGGAAGACAGTGGTAATTGTAGTTGTGGTCAAGGTCTCCATGAAGTTGAAGTTGTGATGCACTTGGCTTTCCTTTTCATCATCATCCTTGCCGTCATGATCCAGTGTCAAAGCACAGCCAGTGCATGAACAACTCGTTTCTTTCTCCCTTCTCAGAAGTATAAGGGATGGGCATATACCTACTGAGTACTCTACTCTAGCCCTCGCTCCCTCAATGCCTGCTACCGCGACCGTCACTTGTCCCGCTCACACTGACTAAAGGCGCTGATGATAACGATCGATGGTGACTATGTCTTAACGTCAAAGGTGCCATCGGTGACATCTCAAGAAGATTCACTACTGATGGGGATGACCCACGGTGCCCTGCTTCTTCCTGCATTTGGGCGGACATGCGCGGAGGGGAGGAGGGGGGAAGGGCACTGGGCTTCCTCTCCCATCCAGCGAGCGAGCAGCCCTGTGAGGTTGGCATCATCGGGGCTCCTCCCCGTGTGGGAAAGGTGGTGGTCCCCACATCCCACGCGAGACGCGACAACGGAACAATCTCAGGCAACCGGCTGAAATCAACAGGGGCGGGTGCCGGGTTGGGTGCTATTTGTGGAAGCGATTCGAAGTCAATACATGGCGGCGCTGGGGGCGAGCGTGTGGTCGCCAGCGATGGCCGAGCTGCTATCTCGGGAAGACTTGACAGTGAAGGCGGCATGCCGCGGGCCGCCTTGCGTGCAATGACATCAGGAGATGGAAGCGATTCAAAATCAATGCCAGCACGCTCTCGAGCTGCTGCAGCCAGGCACACGTCGATCTGCGGCTGAGCCCAGCCAATGATAAGCTCCAGGATTTTCGAAATCGAAAGCTCAGGAAATGCACTTCGCAAAGCCTCGATTGTCCTCATAGGTTTCCCAGCAAACCGGTAAGTCTTAGTCCCACAGCGGCCACCACTGCAATCATGATGCAGATTAGCTCCGTGCTCCTCCTCCTCCTCCTCCTCCTCCTCCTCCTGTTCATGCCCCTCCCCATCCTCCTCCTCCCCTCCCTCCTCTTCCTCTTCTTCCCCAGCAGCTAGAGCATCTGGCACTGCAGGCGATATGCACGTCCCATGGTGGTGGCGGTTCTGCGCAGGCCCTGGAGAAGGGGGACCACTTGGAGCAGACTGTGGGGACGATGAGGCCGGTGGAGCAGAGCACACTGTCAATTGATAAAGCTCCTGCTGCCGAGAACCTGAAGGTGGCGACAAAGACCGAACCTCACCCTGGGATGATGACGATGCAGGGGAATCGTGAGAAACACCCATCATCGGCAATCCCGATACGCAGCACGCCCCACGGCGGAAGACTGTGACAGCTCGACCTGCGCAAGTCCACAGGAGAGATTGAAAGACTCAGGAGACGATCGAAGTTTCTAACAAAAAGGCGCAGGACACACACAAGTGATGATGACGGAGGGAACTGAAAAGTTTATGCTTGCTAGGAGGAAAGAACGCCACCCCCCACCCCACGCCTCTGCTTGTTGACTTGACTTCTCTCCCCTTGACTAATCGATCGGCCAGAGACAAAGTGTGGGCATGAAGCTCAAAACAAGGAATACAAGGGACAAAAACAAAGAGGTGAGGGGCATGTATATATACATATATACATATATCTACATATATATATACATTTATATATATACATATATATCGTCACAAACAGAACTGCCCGGTAAAACCGTAGGCAGAGAGAGAGAAGAGGACAGCAAACGAGGGGCTGTGACAAACTGTTTCGTCGGAGTTTCACCGACTCATCAGGAGGCTGAACCCTCAACAGTCTGCAG